CCCCCGGTGTGTTCACGGCCGGGCCCCTGGCGCTCTGCTCCCCCGGTGTGTTCGCGGCCGTGCCAGGCCCCTGGCGCTCTGCTCCCCCGGTGTGTTCGCGGCCGTGCCAGGCCCCTGGCGCTCTGCTCCCCTGGTGTGTTCGCAGCCGGGCCCCTGGCGCTCTGCTCCCCCGGTGTGTTCGCGGCCGGGCCGGGCCCCTGGCGCTCTGCTCCCCAGGTGTGTTCGCGGCCATGCCGGGCCCCTGGCGCTCTGCTCCCCCGGTGTGTTCGCGGCCGTGCCGGGCCCCTGGCGCTCTGCTCTCCCCGGTGTGTTCGCAGCCGGGCCCCTGGCGCTCTGCTCCCCCCGGTGTGTTCGCGGCCGGGCCCCTGGCGCTCTGCTCCCCCCGGTGTGTTCGCGGCCGGGCCCCTGGCGCTCTGCTCCCCCCGGTGTGTTCGCGGCCGGGCCCCTGGCGCTCTGCTCCCCCTGGTGTGTTCGCGGCCGTGCCAGGCCCCTGGCGCTCTGCTCCCCCCGGCGTGTTCGCGGCCGGGCCCCTGGCGCTCTGCTCCCCCCGGTGTGTTCGCGGCCGGGCCCCTGGCGCTCTGCTCCCCCCGGCGTGTTCGCGGCCGTGCCGGGCCCCTGGCGCTCTGCTCCCCCCGGCGTGTTCGCGGCCGTGCCGGGCCCCTGGCGCTCTGCTCCCCCCGGTGTGTTCGCGGCCGGGCCCCTGGCGCTCTGCTCCCCCGGTGTGTTCGCGGCCGTGCCAGGCCCCTGGCGCTCTGCTCCCCCGGTGTGTTCGCGGCCGTGCCAGGCCCCTGGCGCTCTGCTCCCCCGGTGTGTTCGCGGCTGGGCCCCTGGCGCTCTGCTCCCCCGGTGTGTTCGCGGCTGGGCCCCTGGCGCTCTGCTCCCCCGGTGTGTTCGCGGCCGTGCCAGGCCCCTGGCGCTCTGCTCCCCCGGTGTGTTCGCGGCTGGGCCCCTGGCGCTCTGCTCCCCCGGTGTGTTCGCGGCCGTGCCAGGCCCCTGGCGCTCTGCTCCCCCGGTGTGTTCGCGGCTGGGCCCCTGGCGCTCTGCTCCCCCGGTGTGTTCGCGGCCGTGCCAGGCCCCTGGCGCTCTGCTCCCCCGGTGTGTTCGCGGCCGTGCTGACATCGCTGCTGTGGCAAGTCAGGCGTTTCCTGTTTACCCTGCGGCCGGGAGGCCTTTGCCTGGCGGTGTTAGAACTGAAATACTTGCTCGGGCTGTGGTCACCCAGCCCCGGAGCAGGGACAGGAAAAGCGGGCCCCGGGGTGGGACTGTTTGTCCTCAAAACAACTGGGCGAACAGTGTGTCACAACAGACGCACACCGCGAGGTACACACACAGTCAGGCACCCATGTGGTTTGTGCCCACACACGCGGGGTGAGATACAGACGTACACACAGAGCCAGGTACACACACAGACCAGTCACACGCCGACCTACAGGCACACGTGGCTGGGTACACACACAGATACACACGTACATACACACCTGGCTGGGTGCGCCCACGCGCACAGGGGCAGCGTCAGGGTGCGCTCGGCCCCAGCCCGGTTGTTGCTTCCCTTCCAGCCCAGGTGGTAGCAAATCGCGCCCTCAGCATGAGCGAGCCACGCGACGCTGTTGCAGAAAACGCCAGTGCACGGGTGGGCTGCATTAGCAGAGGCAGTGTGTGCAGGTCCCGGGAGGGAAGGGGAGCGCTGGCCAGGCCCCCGCTGGAGGACAGTGTCCAGCAGGGATGGAGAGAAACTGAAAGGATCCAGAGGCGAGCGACAGAGACGCTCACGGGGTGGAAGGCAGCCGTGGGAGCAGAGGCTGAGGGAACAGGGTGCGTTTAGTGTGGAAAAGGGGAGATTAAGGGGGGACAGGATAGCGGTCTTCAAACACGTGAAAGGCTGCCATAAAAGAGATGGAGAAAAGTTCTTCTCCCTTGCCCCAGAGGGCAGGACAAGAGGCGATGGGTTCAAACAACAGCAGAGCAGATGCAGGTTAAATCTCAGGCCAAACGTCCTAACCAGAAGGCCAGTCGGCCCATGGAGCAGAGGCCTTTGGGAGGTCATGGCATGATGGCAGGTCCTTCGCGGGAGGTTTCCGAGAGGAGACTAGATGATCCTGGCGGTCCCGTCTAACCCTGTGGGTCTATGATTCTACACCCCAGCCCGAGCGTGGGGACCGCATCCTGCCCCCCATCTGCCTGCCCCGCCTCTGCCCGTTGGGGTATTCGCTGCGAGCTGGCTCCGATCGGCCACGTGCCCTCGTCGGCCCAGCCATCTTGTCACCCCGGCCCCGCCACACACTGCTCAGGGCACAATGGGCTGGGAAGGGAGCCGCTCCCCGAGGAGCCGGTGCCACGGCCGAGCCGAGCTGGCTGGGGACGGGGATCCGCGAGACCCCCCTGGCTGGGGGGGGCAGAGCTGGCCCGGGCCGTGGGCCGGAGCAAGCCGGTCGTGCTGAGGGTGCAGTCACAGCGGTGGCCAAGCGCGCTGTGAAACCGAGCGCTGGGGCTGCTCCCGACTGTGCTGGCTGGGGGAGCAGCTCCATGCTCCAGCCCGGCCGTGGGGCGCCCCCTGCTGGCGCCCCTACAAACCGTGTAAATCCCTCGGGACCGACCTTCACAGGAACCAAGGATCTGGCCCCACTGAATGCCAGGCGGGCACGACTGCCGTGGTGGCATGGCTCATGCCCCGTCCCTCGGAGCGGCTGGCGGCCCAAAGCCCTGCTGAGGCTGGAGAACAGGACAGGCTGAGATCCCGTCCGAGGCAGGGCATGTGCGTGTGTGTGAGTGTGAGTGTGTGCCACGTGTGCACGGCACGGCTGTGTGTGTGTGTGTGATTTGTAGAGCTGGGTGTCTGTGCTCTGGGGGGGGGGTGTCTCGGTGCCACGTGTGAATTGTGGTGCTGTGTGTTGTGTATCTGTGCCGTGTGTGAGTCGGGGCCTGGGTGCCCTGTGTCCACGGCATGGCTGTGTGTGTGTGTCTGTGTGCGAGGCAGGCGTATGTTGTACCTGTGTGTGTTGGCAGTGCCCCACAGGTGACGGCTCCAGCCCCAGTCACGGAGCCCCCGCCCCACAGCTCACTCTCTGCGTCGCAGGTGCCCGGAGAGACACCAGTGGCAGGGCCAGGGGGTCCCGGCCCTGGCAACGCCCCCCTCTGCCCCCCAACGGAGCAGCAGCCTCGCTGGGCCCCCCCAACCCTTGCCCAGTGCCTTGAGGGTGCAGCGATCCTGGGAGCTCTTTGGGGTGGGGATCCCTGCAAAACCGCCCGGCCCTTGTGCGGCCCTGACCCGCAGGCTCCCTGGGGCGGGGCAGCCTCCCTGCTGGGAAGCGCAAGGGGGTGCTGCCCGCCACCCCCGAGCCCATGTCCCTGCGGCCCCCCAGCAGAGCCGAGCTGAGCCTGGGGCTCCCAGGGTGACGCTCCCAACGAGAGGCTCATGGCCCCGTTTCCCTCCCAGCGAAGGCCGCCAGGGTGACAATGCCCCAGTGGGCACCGAGCACTGGGCTCCACCGGCTGCATGGGGGGACGTGGCGAATCCTAGAGCTCGTGAGACTGAGCGATTGTAAGCAGGTGCTAGTCAGACACCCCCAACCCCCAGCTCCGCCGGTGCCCCTCAGTCCCGACCTGCAGCCCCCCGCTAGCCCAGCCCTGGGCTCCCCGCCCAGCTCTGCCGGTGCCCCTCACTCCCGACCCGCAGCCCCCTCCTAGCCCAGCCCTGGGCTCCCCCACGGCTCCGCCGGTGCCCCTCACTCCCGACCCGCAGCCCCCCGCTAGCCCAGCCCTGGGCTCCCCCACGGCTCCGCCGGTGCCCCTCACTCCCGACCCGCAGCCCCCCGCTAGCCCAGCCCTGGGCTCCCCGCCCAGCTCTGCCGGTGCCCCTCACTCCCGACCCGCAGCCCCCTCCTAGCCCAGCCCTGGGCTCCCCCACGGCTCCGCCGGTGCCCCTCACTCCCGACCCGCAGCCCCCCGCTAGCCCAGCCCTGGGCTCCCCCACGGCTCCGCCGGTGCCCCTCACTCCCGACCCGCAGCCCCCCGCTAGCCCAGCCCTGGGCTCCCCCCACGGCTCCGCCGGTGCCCCTCACTCCCGACCCGCAGCCCCCCGCTAGCCCAGCCCTGGGCTCCCCGCCCAGCTCTGCCGGTGCCCCTCACTCCCGACCCGCAGCCCCCTCCTAGCCCAGCCCTGGGCTCCCCCACGGCTCCGCCGGTGCCCCTCACTCCCGACCCGCAGCCCCCCGCTAGCCCAGCCCTGGGCTCCCCCCACGGCTCCGCCGGTGCCCCTCACTCCCGACCCGCAGCCCCCCGCTAGCCCAGCCCTGGGCTCCCCCACGGCTCCGCCGGTGCCCCTCACTCCCGACCCGCAGCCCCCCGCTAGCCCAGCCCTGGGCTCCCCGCCCAGCTCTGCCGGTGCCCCTCACTCCTGACCCGCAGCCCCCTCCTAGCCCAGCCCTGGGCTCCCCCACGGCTCCGCCGGTGCCCCTCACTCCCGACCCGCAGCCCCCCGCTAGCCCAGCCCTGGGCTCCCCCACGGCTCCGCCGGTGCCCCTCACTCCCGACCTGCAGCCCCCTGCTAGCCCAGCTCTGGGCTCCCCGCCCAGCTCTGCCGGTGCCCCTCACTCCCGACCCGCAGCCCCCCGCTAGCCCAGCCCTGGGCTCCCCCACGGCTCCGCCGGTGCCCCTCACTCCCTACCCGCAGCCCCCCGCTAGCCCAGCCCTGGGCTTCCCCCCCCGCTCCGCCGGTGCCCCTCACTCCCGACCCGCAGCCCCCCGCTAGCCCAGCCCTGGGCTCCCCCACGGCTCCACTGGTGCCCCTCACTCCCGACCCGCAGCCCCCCGCTAGCCCAGCCCTGGGCTTCCCCCCCCGCTCCGCCGGTGCCCCTCACTCCCGACCCGCAGCCCCCCGCTAGCCCAGCCCTGGGCTCCCCCCCGGCTCCGCCGGTGCCCCTCACTCCTGACCCGCAGCCCCCTGGTGTGCCATGCCCCCTTCTCCAGCTGACTCCGGCCGTCTGTCTGTGCTCTCCCTGCAGGCGGCTGTGACCTACGGACAGATGGACCTGCAGCAGCACTGCCTGGTGTTCGTGGAGGACCACACGCGGGTATGAGCACTCAGGGAGCAAGGGGGGGCCCAGGGCCTCAGCGCTGTGCATCGGCCGGCCCCCCCCGAGCTCTGGCAATAGCCCCACGCCCCGCCGGCAGACTCAGGCATGCGGCCAGGGCCCCACGTGGAACCAGCCCTGAGCAGCCAAGAGAAGGGGCGTCGCCCCAGGCAGGGGGGCACAGGCCAGGCTGGCCCTGTCAGTCCAGGGCCCCGGGGGGGTAGGATGCCCCAGATAGCCATGGGCAGCGGGTGCTGGGTCACGCGGGGGCGCTGGGCGAATGGGTCTGGGTCACGCAGGGGCGCTGGGCGAAGGGAGCTGGGTCACGTGGGGGTTCCAGGGCCCCTTCTGCCCTCAAGGTCGATGAGTCTGAGCTGCTGCTCCCCTCGGGTGGGGTGCAGCAGAGGGGTGGCGGGATGGGACAGGGCAGAGGGGGACTGGGGGTGGGGCGGGTCAGAGGGGTGGCAGGATGGGGCGGGGCGGAGCAGAGGGGTGGCAGGACAGGGGCAGGGCAGAGGGGGCGGGTCAGGGGGGCAGTAGGACAGGGACGACGGGAGGGGTGGGCAGCAGGTACATGCCCGGCAGTTGTGGGGCGGGGTTCTGGGCCCGCCCCATGCCAGGTGGGGCCAGCCCCGCTGCCAGGCTGCCAGGGGTGACCGGGCCCGTTTGTGGCACCGCAGGAGGTTGTGCAGACACGGGGCTTCCACGAGCTGTCGGGCGCAGCGCTGGGGGTCGTCCTGCAGAGCGACCGGCTGGCCATCGACGAGCCGGACCTGATCCGGGCTGTGCGGGAATGGGCCCACGTCAGCTCGGTGAGTGCCGGCAGCCCCAGGGCCAGGAGCTGGGGCTCACCCAGCTAGGGGCTTTCTGAGCCCCCACCACGGGGAGGCTGGCAGGGGTTGTTCCCTGGCGTGCGGGGGGGTGGGATGTGTCCCCGGTCACCCACTGAGTGCATGGCAGAGCTGGGAATGAACTCCCCCGACTCTAACCCATAGACCCCACTCCCCGCCCAGAGCCGGGGGAGAACCAGGCGTCCTGGCTGCCAGATCCCTCCGCCCCAGCCCTATAGATCCCACTGCCCTCCCCTCCCCTCGCCTCGCCTCCCAGAGCTGGGGATAGAACCCAGGCATCCTGGCTGCCAGCCCCCACCCACCCCAGCCCACCCAGGAGAAGCAGAGCACAGGGCCCCAGGGGTGTCCCCCACCCAGGACCCAATCTCTGGGGCACAAGCACAGGTGATGCCAGTCCCTGCCCAGCCCTCAGTGCTCCCCTGTCTGCCCTGGGGGCGAGATGCCAGGGCTCTGTCCCTTGGGATGCCTGAGGGGGACTGGCCGCTGCAGGGCCGGGCACACAGGAGGGCGGATGGTGGTGGCTGGTGACATGGGCCCCCATCACCTGGGAACCTGGCCGAGACCCCCAGCCCATCTCCTGCCGGCTGCCAAAGAGCTGGGGGGCCCTGCCACCCCGGGGTCAAAGGCCCCAGATCGCATCCCCCCCCTCCGGCTCCCCATTTCCTCCCCGCCCCGGCTCTCTGGGTCACGGATCCGGCCCCTGACTCTGCACTCCTGTTCCAGGCCGTCCTGGAGCGGCCGGTGGCCGAGGTGGCAGCAGGGCCGGTGAGCGAGCTCCGCCTACCCCTGCTCTCGCCCCGCGAGCTGGCAGCCCTGGAGAGCCGCAACCAGAGGGACCCGCTCATCCCGGTGAGGGGCCAGCTGGCTGCGTCCGTCCGGCTGCGTCCGTCCGGCTGTCCTTTGGCCCCATCTATCTCGGTGTCTGTCTGTCTGTGTCCATCTGTCCATGCACCCCATCTGTGTCTGTGTCCGTCTGTTCAGTCACCCCTGGCTGAGATCAGGCCCTTGGGAAGGCCTGGCCAGCCTAAGGCATTTGGGGGCGGGGGCTGAGCCCCATGGGACCTGCTCCAGGCCCTTGGGCCGGCCCTGGGGTCGGTCTGGACAGTGTCCCCAGGATGGGGAGAGGCTGGTGAGAGATTCCAAGGGACTGGGGTCAGGAAGCTGCTGCTGGGGAGAAGCAGGGACGTTTGCGGCACTGACCCAGACGCCTGCCCCACATCCCCCTGTGCCAGGCACCAGCCCTATCGCCCTCTCCGTCCCTGTCACTTCTTGGTGCCTCTTGCAGCCCTGTCCTGCCCCACGGCCCCAAGCCCCCTGGTGCCAGTCCCCGTGTCCGGCTGGGCCCGGCTGCGAGCTGCGTGCCCAGGGACAGCCCTGGCATGGCTGGGACCGGCCGGCATTGCAGCAACCTGGTGTCACCCCCGCAGGTGGAGTGCATCGCTGAGGCCTGGAAGTGCCACGCGCTGAGGAAGGGGAGAGGGGCGCCATCCCGTCTGTACCAGTGCCGCAGGGGCACCCAGCCCCGGGAGCACCACAGCTACCTCCAGTGAGGGGGCGGCAGTCAGCGGCGGGCGCCGGGCGTTGCCCGGGGGCAGGGAGAGGTTGTTCCTGCGTCTCTGGGACGAGTGACGGGCAAAGCGAACTTCCCAGGACACCGCTGGTCTTGTGCCCCCGACATGCCAGAGCTGGGGGCAGGCCATTGTCCTGCGTGCGTGGGGGGGGGGCACGGCTGAGACGGGGGCTGTCCCAGCCGTGCTGCGCCCCACAGCCGCCGGGGCATTGTGCTAAGCTCAGCCTGCCCACAACGCCTCACGTCTGAGCCTGATCTCGGGTGGAGCTGGGGAAGGTCAGGTTAGTACCTCCTGCAGCCCGGGGCCAGCTACAGCAGCCCAGGGGCTGCTCTAATGTACACCTGGGCTGTAACAAGGGCTAGCTGGCAGCCCAGACTAGCCAGAGGGCCCAGCCTGGTGGGCAAGCCCCCTCCTGTCTACCCTGGGGTGCGTGCTGCCCAGGGATCCCCCTGAGCCGGAGGGAGCCCCAGCTTGGGTTGCTAGCTGCTTTCCAGCCCCTTTGTGCACAGGCCCTGCCTCTCCAGCGTGTGTATGATCCCGGGCGGGGGTTAGATGCCCACAAGCCCCAGGGCCATGCCTCTCACCAAGTCACAGGGCCACCGAAGGAGGGGGCCAGCCCTGGCACATGCTGGGCAAGGCCTCAGGGGGTCACTTGGGGCCCTGGGACTGCCCTGCACTGCAGGCAGGATCAATACATCTCCATGGAGCTCATTGCTGAGTCAGCGTCTTGATTTCAGTAACGCCTCAGAGCTGGGGGGAGCCTTGGGCTCGGCTAGCAGGGAGCTGCGGGTCGGGAGTGAGGGGCACCACAGAGCTGGCAGTGGGTAAAGCCCAGGGCTGAGCTAGCAGGGGGCTGCAGAGATAGACTAAGGGGGTCTGGGGGGGAGTTGCCCATTGACGGCCTATGGCCAGGACCCCATGTCCCTGCACCCCACATCCCTGGGTGAGTCAGGGTGGGGGCAAGGGCTAGCTCTGCCTGGGAAAGCCCCTAGGACAGTGGGCTCCCCTTTGTGACTGTAGCCCCTGCTGGGGGTCCAGACTCCTGGGTTCATTGCCCGGCCACCGGCCCCCTGTGGGACCTCAGGGAAGTTGTGCTCTTGCTCTGTGCCTCAGTTTCCCTATCTATGGCAGGGCTGCCAGGCTGAGACCAGCCAGAGCCCACAGAGGGGTGGCACCGGAGATGGGGTCCCCCAACGCTGGTAGCAAGGGCGCCTGCCAGCTGGGTGGGTAACAGCAGCGGGCACAGTGCAGCACGGCCAGACCGGCCCCCCCATCTGTCGGTCTAGGCTGCCCAGCTCCCTGCACTCTCTGCCCATCACACGTAGCAGCAGCCGCTCAGGGTCAGTGCAAGGCGCTGGATCCCGAGGCCGGCGCTGAGCCATCCCTGTGGCACTGATGGGTCTTGACCTCCAGGGACCCCAGCCAGCTCGTGGCCCAGCCTAGCCTGGGCCTGGTGCAGCTCGACGAGCCCTTGGCACCTCTTCCGCCCCACGCCCTGCCTCGCTGGCTCTGGGTCTGCGCTCGGTGCGGTCACCTCCACCTGGCCTGCAGCTACCCCTCGGGGTGGGCAGAGTCAGGGCAGCAGACTGCTTCCACTCCCTGCAGCGCTCTGCCCTGCTGCCCAGGGACACCAGAGGCAGAGGTGAGGGGCCTGCCCAGCCCGGGGAGCCAGTACAGCGTTCCCTTCTTCAGCCAGGTGGGGACACTGAGGCCGGGATTGCCTAGGACAGTCAGTTCCTCCGGGGCCCATGGGAGCCAATGCCGGGATGTGCTACCCTGCATGCCCACCCTGTCCAGGGGGCACGGGGCAGCAGGGACACGGCCCTGTGACCCGACAGAAGGGTGCTACACAACCCGACTGCCAACACGCTGAGCCCAAGGGCTCTGGGCCAGGCATCGACGGGGGACGAGGGCTCAGTGGCCTCCATGGGGAAGGGACCAGGCCAGCCCATGGGGGCCAGCGGGACGTGCTGGGCTCAGGCCTTGGGATCTGCTGGAGCTTGGCTGCCTGGCAGGCCTCCACCCAGGGGGTCCAGCTTGTCTCCTGCAGGCAGGGCGGGGGCCCCAGTCCCGCTCCTCGTTCCCAGGCCCCACGCCAGGGACATGACAGTCTATTCTTGGCGCCCTAGGAACTGGCAGCTGAGCCCCTGGGTTGGCCCAGGGGATTTTTAGCTCAGCCCAGGGCCGCTGCTGGATTTCTGGCTTCTTTGCCAGGGACCTCTGGAGCGTCCAGCCAGGGCAGGCCCAGCTCAGGGACTTTGCTCCTGCTCACACCCAGGGTCTTGGCAGCCGAGAGGGAGCCGGCAAAGACCACGGGTGAGATGTGGGTGGGGGTCTCAGCCAAGGCTGCAGCCGGGGGGCTGGGCCTGCCGCGAGTGCCCAGGCTCAGAAGGGTGAGGCTGGGGCAGGACCTGGCTGGGACACAGCAGGATGACGTGGTGATGGCGATTCAGTGGGGGGTGATGCCCTTCCGTGGCCGTGCAGAGCTAGGAGGCGCTGTGGTAGAGGGGAGCCTTCCTTGACCCTAGTGCCCCAGTATGGGGGTTAGCTGGGGGGGGGGCAGTATGATCTGCTGGGGGGATTCCATGCCCTGCTGTGGCCGTGGCTCCGGGGGGGCAGCAAGCCCTGCTGTGGCCATGGCTCCAGGGGCACCACGCCCTGCTGTGGCCACGGCACCGGGGGGCACCACGCCCTGCTGTGGCCACGGCACTGGGGGGCACCGTGCCCTGCTGCGGCCATGGCACCGGGGGGCACCGTGCCCTGCTGTGGCCATGGCTCGGGGGGGGGGGCACAGCAGCTGAGTGCAGGCCCTGTGGCGAGGAGGGGCCGGCTGCAGGCCATGCGTGTTTGGGGTGTGGGTTGCTAAGTGGCCGTGGAGCTGAGGCCTGGCTGGGTGCCCGCAGGGAAGCCCTGCCGGAGCCCTCTGGCATGCACTGACTCATCGGCTGAGGCGGGGAGAGGTCGGAGCAGCCCTGGGCCTTGGCAGCGAGGCGATCCAGCCCCTGAGGCAGCCGCACTGGGATGACTCACGCTCCAGCCGCCCTGCACTGGTGTCAGTTGTGGCTGTGCTGGGCGGCCGGCGGAACCAGTGCGGACACGGCTCAGGGGAAGGGGCTCCAGGCAGCGCCGGGATCAGAGGCTCCAGAGCCTGGCATGCCAGCAGGGCTGCCACCTGCCCACGTGGTCACAGGAGTGTCGTGCTAGTCAGGGAGCTGGCCTGGGAACTGTCAGGGTGTTCAGTGCCCGCGGCCAGCAGCCCTGCCTGTGGGCTCAGCAGCACCCGCGGGGCTTGGTGTTTTGGGACCTCAGAGGTGGCAGCCCCAGATGCTGGGTCGAAGGGGCTGCTCCTCCAGCACATTGCCCCGCAGAGAGTCATTTACGCTCACTGTGCACAGGGGTAACTGGTCAGCAGGACTGGGGCAGGATTAGGCCCAATGGGCAGGGCCAGGGCAGGATTGGGCCCTTGATTTTCCCCTGACCAGGTCCCCCTGGAGCTGAGCGATCAGCACCTGAATGACGCAGCCCTGCACCCTGCCCCACAGGAGGCCACAGGGCTCCCTGGCCCTGCCCCTGCGGGACCTGCCCCCTCACCCGGCCAGGTAGACCCAGAGCTGAGACGCTGTGAGGAGCCCTGACACAAGCACATGGCTCTGCGCCCCACCCCAGGCGCCTGCTTGCTGCCCTGGTGCAGGACCTCTGGAGCCAGGTGTGGGGCCGGGGCGGGGGGACTCCTTGGCTTTAATGAGCGAGTTATTCCAGCTGCTGAGTGAGAGCTGGGGCCCTGTGTGCACCCCCCAGCTCTGCCCGCGCCCCCCACTCCCAGCCTCCAGCACCCCTGCTGTTCTGCCGGCCTGACTTTGGCTGGCATTACCGGTGCCCCTCACTCCTGACCCGCAGCCCCCCGCTTTCCCAGCCCTGGGCACCCCCATAGCTCTGCCGGTGCCCCTCACTCCCGACCCGCAGCCCCCCGCTTTCCCAGCCCTGGGCACCCCCATAGCTCTGCCGGTGCCCCTCACTCCTGACCCGCAGCCCCCCGCTTTCCCAGCCCTGGGCACCCCCATAGCTCTGCCGGTGCCCCTCACTCCCGACCCGCAGCCCCTGCTACCCTGGCCCTGTTTTTCTGATCTTTTTCTGGGGTTGGCACTGGGTGTTGCCCATCCTCAGCGCCCTCCCTCCCCCCGGCTGAGCCCTTTGCTCCCAGTGACTCCGGAGTCCAAAGGCCATGAGGAGTGGGGTGCAGGGCCCCCGTTCACGCCACTGCCCAGCCTGGCCAGGGTGGGGACAGAGGTCACTCCAGCAGCTGCCTCCTTATCTCTGGCAGGGGTGGGGGGTGAAACACGCGCCAGTCCCTTTACGGCACCATGGAAACCGGGCTGGGGCTGGGGCTAGCCTGACACAGAGCTGGGCGGGGTGGGGGAAACCTGCTGCCTCCGGCACCTGCCCCCAAACCCCCTGCCCGGGTTCTGCTCCCAGTGGAGGTGATGCCTGGGACAAAGGAGGAGCTGCCCCCACCCCGCCCCCACCCCCCACCAGCCGGGATCCCTTGGGTGCCGCGAGGAGCCAGCCGCTAGCCTGCCGGGGATTCACCGTGCTGGAGCCCCTGCCTCAAGGAACCAGCTCAGGCCTGCGGGGGCTGGGGGGGGAGGGCTGTCCACACACAGCCCTCGGCGGGGTGGGGGGGCAGCAGGGCAGGCTTGGGGTGCAGGGAGCTGGGGGGAGCTGAGTTGGGGAGTGACCCTCTCCCTAGTCCGAGGGGAGGGGAGATAGTGAATTGGGGAGGAAGATAGCTCAGTGGTTTGAGCATTGGCCTGCTAAACCCAGGGTTGTGAGTTCAATCCTTGAGGGGGCCATTTAGGGATCTGGGCCAAAAATTGGGGATTGGTCCTGCTTTGAGCAGGGGGTTGGACGAGATGACCTCCTGAGGTCCCTTCCAACCCTGATCTTCTGTGGTTGCTGCCCCTGCAGCCTGGGGTGGGGGGGATTCAAACCTGTGCCCCCCGCCCCAGCTGCAGGGCGTGCTCCTGTAGGGGGGCATGGGGACAGGCGCTGGGGTCTGGGTCATGCCCCCAGCTGACCCCCAGATGCTGTTGGGGGGTGAGAAGCTGCCCCCCATGACCGTGCCAGGAGTGGGGCAGGGAGCCCCGGCCTCGCTGAGATCTCCCCGCCGCCCTGGCTCAGTGGGCACAGCCCCCCCGGATTAATCCCCCATAGCGCTGAAGAGCCGGGCCCGGGCCGGCAGGGGGAGGGGCCCGATCGGAGGGGCGGGGCCGCGGCAGCCCGTATGCAGATGTGTGTGCGAGCAGAGCCTTGTGGGAGCGGGAGCCGGCTGCCGAGCCGGGCCCGAGTTCGGCAGGCGGGGCTCGGCGGGGAGAAGGGTGGGCCCCGGGGACACGCGGGGCAGGTGGCGGCAGCGGGGGCCGGCGCGGGCGGGGCCGGCGGGCGTGTCTTGGCGGGCCCCACCGTGGGTTGAGAGTGCGGGGCGAGCGAGGGCGGGCGGCGGCCGGGGCGGCCCAAGTCATACTTACCTGGCAGGGGAGACACCATGATCACGAAGGTGGTTTTCCCAGGGCGAGGCTCATCCATTGCACTGCGGGTGTGCTGACCCCTGCGATTTCCCCAAATGCGGGAAACTCGACTGCGTAATGTGGGGCGGTGGGTCTGAGACCGGAACGAGCCGCCCCGCGGGCAGCGCTGGGGGTCCCGGGCCGCCT